GCTCATACTTATCTAACATGAGATTCATATATTCAGCAACCTGCTGGATATCTCTGGGTATTCTTGGCACCTCAATCTCCATATGTCCTGTTAAGTTGATTGAACAAGGGCATTAGACTGATGTGGCTCTAAGGCCATGGCAGCCTGCATAAGCAAACTAAAATGTAAGCATATAAATGCTTCGAGGTTATGAAATCAAAACACTGAGGACAGTCAATCACAAAGAGCCAAGTGGACAATCAGTTTCTTCTCTTTGCTTCCATACCTTCTCTATAAAAGTGTTTTCCCTGACTCCTGTTGGCAGAGGGCTCCTAACCACTTCTGGTTTGATGCTGTTTGATTCTAACTGAATTTTGCTCAGATAAACTCTTATAATTTTAATATGCCTCAGTTTATCTTTTAAACTGAATTCACTGTTCCCCTAAACTAACCCATCTCTTGTATTTTCTATCTCACTTGGAGATACCATTCTTCTCCCAGTCAGCCTAATAACTAAGGAGTTATTCTTGGTCCTTCCTTGTCTCTGATGTGGTTCAAGACACACTATCCCAAAATATGACATGTTGGCATATTGAATATTAAAGCTGAAAGATTTTGAGAGATGGTAGGCACAAGGAAGTCCCCACTGACCTCTCCTGTCTCCCTTCAGAAAGGTCATAAGACCTTCATGTGAGAGATGCCCTCCCTTTACCAGGAGGAGACATCTGTTACCTCTGCAGACAGAGGGGTGCTGTGTGAGCTGGACTAGCGCCATCTTGGATGAATCCACCATGACTACCTCTCTGTAACCCAAAGCCTTCTCCAGCACAGCTGCCCCCTCCCACACCTTCTTTTTGTCTAACCACACCCTTAAGTACACCCTTGAGGCATAACATCCTTGACCTGCTCTGGAGATATGACTATGACCCAACTCTTCTCAAACATTTCCTCTGGGGGTGGTCTCCCAGGACATATTCCCCTGCCTCTATGGCTAAAAAAGCAAGTCTTATGAGAGGTGGCGTTGCAGAGATCTACTCATCTTGCAGCTGCCCAAGACACTAGAGTCCTTTTAGTAAACCATCTCTTGTCAAGCTGGACTTACCAGGCTTTTTCTTTGGTCTTATGGCTCCTTCAGCCTTTGGAGGTAGTTTTGCATATACCTCCCTTAGATGATGAGAGGAATCAGAACGAACAGGCCGTGCTAAGTTTCTTCCAGTTTACTACCCTTAGCTCATATTCTTTTTTTTTTTTAAGATTTTATTTATTTATTTGACAGAGAGAGACACAGTGAGAGAGGGAACACAAGCAGGGGGAGTGGGAGAGGGAGAAGCAGGCTTTCCACTGAGCAGAGAGCCCGACGCGGGGCTCGATCCCAGGATCCTGGGATCATGACCTGAGCCGAAGGCAGATGCCCAACGACTGAGCCACCCAGGCGCCCCCTCATATCCTTTTGTCCTATTGCATTTTACTCACGACCTACCACTCTTCATCAAACCTAGCATAAAAACAATCTGGTTTAACTGCTTTGTTGGGTTTTCATTTCCTTATGAAGGCTCCAATGTCATGTAAAACATACTTAAAAATCAATTTGCATGCTTTCTCTTGTTCATATGTCTTTTGTTTCAGAGTCCCAGAAAAGAACCTAGAAGGGTAGAAGGAAAAGATATTTTTTTCTTCCCCTACATCTCTTGACACACCAAACCTGAAACTAATAATGAATCAGTTGGTCCTGTTGATTTTTTTATTCTAATTATTTCTCAATTCCTTCTATCTACTTAGTTCAAGCCCTCATTCTCCTTCATTGAATTACTACAACAGCCCTGCAGAATGATCTCTTTCCCCAAATTTTGTCAAACCCCAATCTCACTTTGATTGCCAGATATATTTTTCAGAGTCACACATCTGACCCAGACCTTCCCTTGTTTAAAACTCTACCTGGCTTTCCGTCACTCACAGGATAAAGTAGACGCCCTATCTTGCTGTACAAGGGCCTCCATGATCTACTTACCTCAATCCTACAGCACTGAACCAATTGTCTTTCCCAGCCTGTGTTACTGTGTCTCACCTCTCGCCCTTGTGCACACCCTCCACACTGCTAAGAACAACTAGGTTTATGTGGGGAACAAAGGCAAGAGGAAAAAATTAAAATTTCCTTACTACTTACAGCCCATTGACAAGTCCTTGAAACAGGCAGAGTGACCTCCCTCCAGGAACTCAATTGCCTGGATGTTAATACTTTGCTAAGGGCAAAAGGCCATTTTAGCTTAACACTATCCCAACCTCCCAGATCCTTTAACATATAAAAATTCCTTTGGAGACTTCCTTTATTTCTACCCCAAGATCTATTTTAGCAATCATCCTCCAAGCATATGGCCCACTGACACATCCGTAGGGTCTCATGACTAGGGTTTTACTAGACAGGAATAACTGATCTTTTCCTAACAATACCTAGCCTCCTCAGGGTCCTGGAAACCTTGCTTCTGAAATTCCTTAGAGATTTACACTATCCCTAACCCCCTCCCAACTTGAAAGTATATAATCAATTGCTCCTCACAAACCCAAGGCAGCTCTTTCTGCCCATGGGTCCTGTCCCCATGCTTTAATAAAACCACCTTTTGGGACTGAAGACACCTCAAGAATTCTTTCTTGACCCTTTGTTCCGAACCCCAACATTTCCACATCATTGCTTGCCTCTCTTCTTTTCTCACTTAACTCCCAGGTGTCCTTCAGGACTCCAAAGAAGCTTTCCTTACATTTTCCTTTCTTCTTATTGGTTAAAACAATAATACTATGTGAAAGAAATAGAAAAGGAACCACAGAAGAGGTTAGAATGTCTAGACAGTGAGTTTGGAGAATCAGAGGCAAACTGCCTAAAGAAGAGATTCTGACCTGAAAAGAAAAGTTCAGGCAAAGGAAGGCGATTCAGAAAGAGAGTTATAGAGGCTGATGGCTGAGTCTGTCAGAAAAATGAAAATGAGCGGCATCTGACTGGCTCAGTTGGTCATGAGTTCAAGCCCCATGTTGGGTGTAGAGATTACTTAAAATCTTAAAAAAAAAAAGAAAAATGAAACGTCTTTGTCAAGTTCTTAAGAATGGCTCTTTCAATATTAGCAAATGATATACCAGACATAAATGTACGTTTTTAACTCATAAAAATGATGTTAGTTTTGAAATCAAGCTATTTCTTCTTTGATAATGATAAGCTCAGAAAATGCTCACCCAAGAGATAGAAAGTAGAAAAGAAAACAAGGTGGATTTACGTATAAGTACATAATCTTTGCAAACATTATTGACAAAAACAATCTGAGAAAGGTGACAGTTGAGGCCATTACCTTATTTTTCTCCTTCTCAAGGGAAGATTCAATTACCTTGTGAGTGAGAAGAAAGACAAATCTTAAATCTTGAGGAAGGATAGATCCTTTTTCAGCCCACAGTTCCTGTTAATGGAGTGTCATTGTTTATTGAACGAAAAACCACGAAGCAAGAAATCTCTAGGCTACAGGAATGCCTCTGCTTGTTTTAATTTATATTTAAATTTTAAACAGCTTCATCGTGGTATAATTGACACACAATAAGCTGCACATATTTACAGTGTACAATATATTAAGTTTTGACGTCCATCACCACAATCAGGATGATGAATATGTGTAATGTTTCCTTACGCCCCTGGTATTTTCCATAGTTTTAAATAAGTGGAATAATATGGTATGTACTCTTTTTTGTCTAGTATCTTTCACTCAGCACAATTATTTTGAAATTAATCCATGGTGTTATGTGTCTCAGTTATTCATTCCTTCTGAAGTGATTAAGGTTACATTTAAAATTCAATAATATTGAATGAAGAAAAAAGTTAAAGAAAATTCAGAGTCTCAGGTTCAAGAAGAAAGACTTTGTCTCGTTCTTCCTAAAGAATGTGGTGGTGGGGCAGTGTATACTTGATCACCTGCTTATGCCTGTCCAAAACCTGAGAGTGTTCCTCAGTAACAGATGCTGAAACACCTGCGATGTACACAGTGAATAAGTCCATGGGAGGGGCAAGGAAGAAGAAGCACTTTCCTGTTCAATCCCATTTATTTTGTTTCTTTATTTTAAAAAGATTTTATTTATTTATTTGAGGGAGAGAGCATGAGGGGCTAGGGACAGAGGGAGATGGAAGGACAAGCGGACTCCCCGCTGAGCCCGAGATCATGACCAAGCCAAAGTCAGCCACTTAACCAATCCAGCTACAGAGATACCCCAAGTTGATTCCCATTTATAACCACACATGCACACTTCTGCCCAACTCAATATAAAAGATTTGGATAGAGACACCTGGATGGCTCAGTCGGTTAAGTGGCTGCCTTCAGCTCAGGTTGTGATCCTGCGGTCCTGGGACCAAGTCCGGCATTGGCATCGGGCTCTCAGCTCAGCAGGGAGTCTTCTTCTCCCTCTCCCCCTCCCTCCCCGCTCATGCTCTCTCTCTCTCTCTCAAATAAATATAATCTTTAAGAAAAATAAAAGATTTGGATATATCTATGAGGTATGACTGGTTCCTAAAATTTCAGGACTGCAGTATTATAACAGGTGGTAAACCACTTCATTGCTACCTCAGTTTCCCCAGTCTCTAAATTGGTTTAAGTATGTTATCCACGTGCCCTACACCAATGGGGATACCTTTTAAGAGGACAGCATTTAAAACAATGAAAAATAACAACCAGGGCTGACAGTAAGTATTTTACTAACAACTGTTTTGAAATTGGAAGGAAAAGTAATAAGAATAAGAGGAGTCCTCAAATATGAATAGGTGATTTCTGTATATTTGGAACTAAAAACAGTTTCCTATAGAAATACATCGTAATTGTAGTAAAGAGAGAACATATTCTGGGCATGTCACAGCCTGTCCTAAATAAGGTGGGGAAGGGACGAGAACGCTAGTAAGAAGCAAGGGAAAGGTGGTTCACATATGATGGAAACTCCCAGGTTTGCTTTGGCCACCGTGTGCGGTAAGGACCGCGGGAGTCCATGAGCGGGCCCACCGGCGCCCCAGAACTACAATTCCCAGAATGCCACGGTGCAGGCTCTTCGGCGGATGCAGTCTGGAGCTCCCGGTACTGCAGGTTCGGCTGCTGGGCGACCCTGGACCCTCTGCGCTCATGGCTTCCCCAAGCAAGGCAGTTATTGTTCCCGGGAACGGAGGCGGGGACGTGGCCACGCACGGCTGGTACGGCTGGGTCAAGAAGGGGCTGGAGCAGGTAAGAGACGCGAGCGGCTGCGCTGGGAAGTCAGCTTGGAGCTGGAGGGGATGGAGGGGACTGAGGAGTGAAGTTTGAACGTGTGTTCACCAGACCCTACCCCACCCCAGCAAATCCCCCCTTTAGCACAGCCCAGTGTGTTTTCATTCCTCTCCCTGCTGCCCTGTCTCAAACACTAGAACTAGTGGTTGGAATTTTAGTGGGTAAAACTGCCTAGAAGACTTCCCTGAGGGCTCAGTCGCTAGGGTACAAGACACCACCTCCTGGAGCCCCGTCGGTCTCCCTGCATCTGCTGCTGGTTCAGATTTGGGACTTACCAGATAATTGTACATCTTCCTTTTCTGCTCCCTGCCTAAGCTATATGTAACATATATGTAAATTATGAAGTATAATGTAATGAAAACCTGAGTGAGGCTCCATCACCAAACTAAAATCTGCAACATTAACAATAACTTCGAAGCCACATGTACGTTCCCCCATCCCATTTTCCCTACCATCCTGAAAATTTTTTCATTTGCCCCAACCCTTTTAAAAATGAACGTATTTTTGCAACCATGTGTGTATACTTTGAACATATTGTTTAATTTGGCTTCTTTATGAGCTTTATAAAAATGGTGACCAGCTGTAGTTGTCTTGTGCATCTTGATTTTTTTTTTAACCTCTTCCATAACCAGGCAATAGGACTGCTTCCTGGATTGCTATCCTCTAGAGCTCTAGAGTACGTTTCTAGAATAAAGTTCCAGGGTTGTGGCTGAAAACCAAGGCCAGAGCTACAATCCAAAAAGATCAGGGCTGAAGCTGTCCAAGACGGTGGGATCTCCAACTTTCTGTACCATGTTTCTGTACCATGTTTTACCTAATCCCTGGCGCACAGTCTGTTTGCGTATAGGTCAGTTTGTCTAGAATTGCATTCATTCATGATACCTCTGTAAATATATGCCTACAGCAATAAACAGAGATGTACAAGTGAGGATTCAGGTCTCTGTATATAGATACCTACAGACAGAGCTGGCTGGATATAGAACTACAGACAGATGGAGTTTATCAGGAGGGATTGTCTGTTCATATGGCACTTAACCCACTTCATTTCATATTATAAGCAAATATTTACTGAATTGATAAAGATCATATCAGGTGTCTCATTTCTTATTAGCAAAGTATTAGTTGTAATTAAGCTCTTTATTATAGCTTTTTTTCCCCCCCTCATATCTTAGATACCTGGTTTCCAGTGTTTGGCTAAAAACATGCCTGACCCAAGTAAGTTTTAAACGTGTTTTTAAATAGCCTCATCTTGTTGGGTTTTGATCTCGCCATTTTCCTGGTAGAGAGCAGGAATATCATAGTAGAGAAGCCAAAAGGAATATATACCTAAGAATGAATGATGGCAAGTAGTTTGGGGAAAAGAGCATAAACCAAAAAACATTCTAGAAAATTCTAATGAGGATCAAGAAAAGCACCTGGGCTTGGTAAAATTTAATTTTCAACTTTGCAAGCAACTAGATTTTCCCTTCTAGAAGTCAACATATATTTTCAGGCAAAATTTATGGGTATTTCATGTGAGACAGATATGATAAAACTTTACAGCACCTATAGGAGATCAGAATATTTCAAAATGTAACATTGCCACTTTTGTTCTGACTGTGCCTATGACTTGTGTCAGGAAATTCTTCTTTGGAAAGAAAGAATATATATGCATATGAATTTGAGAATGTCATCTAGAGTTTTTTTCTTAAGTTTGAAAGTTTACATTAAAACTTTAGAGTTATATTTTTATTATTTCCCCGGTATTTTCTTATGAGAACATGGTGAAAGATGAAAGCAAAACCAGATAGATGGACCAAAACTGTGGATTTGAGTCTTTCAAACAGCAACACATAAATCGTTCGCTCTATTAAAACAATCCCATCTCCCATATGGTCCTGCAGTTCTTAAGTTGAGAAGTGCTGAGTAGTCATCGGTTAGAAAGGTGGGACAGCATTAGACTTTAAGACTGTCCCTATCAAATGACACTCTTTCTTTACCCTGAACCTTAGTTACAGCTCGAGAGAGCATCTGGCTGCCCTTCATGGAGATGGAGCTGCACTGTGATGAGAAGACTGTCATCATAGGCCACAGTTCTGGGGCCATTGCAGCCATGAGGTGCGATCCTTGCTGAATTCTCCCCCCATGTGGGCTCCAGCTGGTTTGCAGACCTCATTGCAGTTCCTTGAACATGCCAAGTATGCACCTGCCTTAGGCTTGCGCTTGCCACTGTTCTACCTGGAATACTTGTTCCTAGATACTTGCATGGCTTTCTCTTCAAGTCTCTCCTCGAATGTCTCTTTCCACTAAGGCTTTCTCTAGTCACTTCAAATGAAACAGCAACTTCACCCCACTGGCTCATATCCCCTTTATATCTTGGTATCCCCCTTTTTATCTATAGCACTTTTCACCACCTGATATCCTGTTTATTTCTTGTCTGTCTCCGGCCAATAGAAATGTAAGTTCCGTGAGGGTGGGACTTTGTTCATTCTGACACTGAAACCTCAGTGCCTAGAAGAGTGTCTGAAATATGGTAGGTGCTCAGTAAATATTTGAGGGAGAGTGGAGGCTGTTAGCCCACCCTGCAACTCCCCCAGTCCTTAGGATTCATGACGCTTCCCTGATGCTCTCGGTTAGAACATGTCCCTCCCTTTAGGCTTATAAGGCCTAGAGGATAGGATTTAGCTGGCTGAGTAAGCATATTAAGGTTGGGTTTCTTCCATATTTGCTAAGCTGGATGACAAAGGAATATAGTTTTTGTGTAGCCCTTTGTCCCAAGCAGTTGCTCAGGATGTCATATGAATTGCATGTCAGAGAACCTTGCCAGATTCCATAATCTTTCTGCCACACCATTCAAAGCTATGAGATAATACTTCCCAATGTGGAGCTGCAGAATTTCTGTACAGCCCTAGTGTTTATAAGCTGTTAGGGGTTGTCTGGAAAATGAAGGAATCCCTTTATGCTGAAGTCTGTACCAACTCAAGGCCAACTGAATTTTTCTCAGGTCATTGGCTACTAAAGGTGTGCCTTCTTTTAAAGATCCCTGAAACTTACTGCAGGATTGTCCACAACCTTCTAAAAATTAACTTCTAAAGTTAAGGTAGGCAAGGAGAAAATTGATGCCAAAACTATGGGGTATGAGATTGTAGGGCAACAGGGTATTGATTTAGTCACAGAGGACCACCCCACAGATTACTTACTAATCACAAAGGGGACAATTGTGTCTTTACAATGGATATCTGATAGCAGTCACCTTAGTAATCACACTTAATCTCACCAATAAAGGGACACACATTGTGTGTCTCTGATGTGATGGAGTGGGACAGACACATTGCCTATGCGGTATTCTTGCCAAAAATGTTTAATCTCTGTCTAATCATGAGGAAAACAGCCAAATTCAGTTTAGGGGATGATATACAGGACAACTGGCTTAAACTCTGGAAAAAATGTCAATGTCATTTAAAACAAAAAATTTAAAACTGACTAGAGTCGTGAAAACAAAATGCAGTTCGTGATCTTTGATCTAGGATTGAAAAGCAGTTTTAAAGAACATTTTTGGTAAAACTGGGGAAAAATGAATAAGATAGTATTACCATCTCCGTGTTAAATGTACTAGTTGTAATAATGGCACTGTGGAGATATATGAGAGACTACCTTGTTCTTAGGGGATACATGTTGACATGTTTAGGTGTGAAATGTGGTAAAATGAATAAACCTAGTTGCTTCTTGTTCTTCTAACTTTTCTGTTAAGTTTGACATTTTTCAAAACAAATGGTTGGGCAAAAAGTTTAGCCTGAAAACAAAATACCAACCCTAAATCTTTCCTGGCACCAAGGCCTCTGGAAACTATTACCACCCCACATCTTTCCCTAGCCTAGTCTTTGCTGAGTGAGGGAACTTCATGCAAATAGTTAGCTGTCTGCTTGCCAGGCACTGTACTGGGCACCAGGGTTACAAAGATCAATTAGACTCACATCTGCCCTTAAGGAGCTGAAGGTTTATTGGGGAAGACAGATAAAATACGACACAAACAAGTACTACAATGCAATGTAGAGTATGTGGCAAAAAGAAGTACATTTCCGTCGTAGTACAGAATTTCTTAATATGGTTCACAGATCACTTGCCTTTGTCATCTGGGTTGGGGGAGGTGTCATGTCTTAAAATGCAGATTCCTGGGCATCGTACAAACCTTCTGAATCAGATGCTCTGGGACTGAATCTGCAGGTTAACCAACAAAGCAATACTGATGCATACTGAAGGTAGGTTAATAGGCACATCAAAGAGAATGATTACACTTTTTATGTTTTTTTGGAAAGGATTACCAAAGAGGTTTGGACTACCTTGAAAAATGAGTAGAAACTCATAAAATGGCCAAGGGTAAGCCATTAACAACTGGGCTTGTAGTTCTGCAGTTTCCTATTTTTCTTGTTAAACTTGACAGTTGATAGCACCTGCTTTCTGTAAGCTAAATCAAATGAGTTTTCAGGGTTTTGTTTTGCTTTGACTTTTTGGCAGATTTAACATTAAGTATTAGCTGACATTATTTCTCTTTCTCCAGGTATGCAGAAACACACCAAGTATATGCTATTGTGTTAGTGTCTGCATACACCTCCGACTTGGGGGATGAAAATGAGCGGGCCAGTGGTAAGTTTGAAGGCAGAAACCAATACAGAAAAGCCCTTTCTCTAGTCACAGGGATGCTTCTTCAGGTTAAACAGCACTGGCTTTTGGATAGGCTAAAAAAAACCTCTAGTATCATTTGAGAAACATTTACTGCCCTTCTTTAGCTACAAATTAGGCCCTTTGAGAGTTGATAGACCACTTTCTAATGCATTGAACCCTGATTTTTTGAGCTGTGTACTCCCCCTTCCCAAGTGGCTATGGTTTCAAGCTCTACAGATTTGAAAACTAAAGGACTTTTAACACTTAGGTCTGGTTCTTTGTGTCTCTGCTAGATATTTTACAATGGCTAGAAGGGAGATTATCCATGGGTGGTAACAGGTTATATATATATTTTTTCCCATAGGATACTTCAACCGTCCCTGGCAGTGGGAGAAGATCAAAGCCAACTGCCCTCACATTGTGCAGTTTGGCTCCACTGATGATCCTTTCCTTCCCTGGAAGGAACAACAAGAAGTGGCTGATAGGTTGGAAGCCAAATTGTACAAATTCAGTGACCGTGGCCACTTTCAGAACACGGAGTTTCATGAACTGATTAGTGTGGTAAAGTCTATGCTGAAAGTGCCAGCATAGACAGGATGGGATTTCTGCTATTTTGCATTCCGGTGTAGGGGTAGAGCAATTATCAGGTTATTAATAAAAATTATCTGTGATCAGATTAGTGGACACATAAAACAGGTCAAATTACGTTCTGAAAAAAACGCAAGTTCAATGTTCAAACTAAGTTACAAACAGCATTTTCATCTTCCAGAGGATCTATATCTCGCAAACTGCTATGAACTAAAGCAGTATTTTTCCCATTTGAGTCAGGACATAAGGACAGCTTAATTACCTTTATCTGTCCAAAGTGAATAAGCAGAAATGGAACCCAGGTTTCCTGATTCCCAGTCCAGATTAAAATGAAGTAGATTTGTGTATGTTTTAAGAGTGCTACTCCTCTTTGAAATGAACCTTTTGTTATTTGGGGGGTAAGAAAACACGACTAAAGGCCCAGAGTGCTGGCTTAGAGCTCAAACCACTAGCTATTTTGAGCTGGCCCAGGACATTAAACCTAGACTAGGGCCTCCCCATCTTTGACACCCTGCCCTGGTCCTTCATGGATCTGAGTCAGGGGTCAGCCAGGTCAAACAGGGACCATAAGCCCAGCCTGGGCATATATACATGAGCATAGCCAACCAGATCTGTGCTAGACCAGAGTGGTGGGGATTAGGGCAACATGGGGAACTCATATCCTGTCTAAATTGTTGCCATGTGGGAAGGGGGCAGGGTGTTGCCAATTTTCTGATTTTTTCAAGGAAAAAAATTTTATGCAGTGGTTTTTATATTTAGGGACTCTATATATGTTTGTATACACAGTTCATATGTATATGAGTTGTGTCCAATACATGTACATATGGATAAGTTGGCAACGACAGTTAAATAAAAAATTTACAAACACTGCAAGACACACAAAGTCCAAGCCACCCATTTGTGACCTCTGCCATTAGGATTAACTTAGCCAGGTGCTTTAAATGATTCTCTATGAAGCCTGAGAAATGAACAAAATGTCAAAGGATGCAGTCATGGGAACAATTTGGATTTTGTTACAAAATCTTTAGTATTTTTTAAAAGAATCTTTCCATACCTCAAATTTTGTTCTGTAAAGAATTCTACCTTTTAACTTCCATGGTCCTTTGGCTCTCTCTTAAGCCTCATTCCATGATTTCTTTTCTGATCATATTCCCTCAAAAAAATGCTTTTTATTTCCCAATATTTTTTGGCTATTATGATCCCTAAGTATTGCCTCAAACAACTTCCAGTGACTTCATACTTGGTGATGCAGAACCTGATGTTTGCTGCAAAGATGTGAATTCCCTGTTTATGTCTAAAGGAGATTCAAAGCCATCATTTTAACTGGAAAAGTCTTGGTTTCTAAATGTGCTCAAAGAAAAAAGATAAAGACTCTCAACTTCTAATGGCAATTTCTTTGGGGAATAGGAATTTTAGATTTGGTGTGGTGGGAGTCTCCTTCTTATTTTGTACACCTGGGTATTATTTGAGTTTATTATAGTGAACATGTATTACTTTTATAAATAAAAAAATTAAGATTTAAAACAACTCGTTTGACATGTTAGTGAAAAATTCAATAAATCAATTGAATAATAATTTTCTTAAAGAGGTTGTTTAGCAATGATTTGATCAAGCCTATAACCAAATTTGATTCTTTTTGAATTATTTGGAATTAGTCATTGCTCTGCTTACTCAGTCTTGTTTTCTGAAGTCCTTTGTCAAAAAATTACAAACTTACACAAATAACAGTTAATAATATTTTGTTGTCCTCTTCCACAGAAAAGCAACAAATCTGTACAATTGAGAAATAATTATTTTTATATTCTTCATTCCTATAATTAATCTAGACCTATGATTGTTGAGTTGTGCTATCCAATATGGTAGCCAGTAACCACAGGTAGCTATAACATTAAAAATTCGGTTCATTCACACTAGCCTCGTTTCAAGTCTTAACAGCCACAAGTGACTAGAAGCTACCCTACTGAACAGCAGATATGGAATACTGTCATCAAAATAAAAAGTTTGTGGGACAGCAAGCATCCTAGGACATGTATTTTTATTCTCCCCTTACCCACCATGTAATAATAATGGTTCAAAGTAAAAGTCACTCAACTTAAAATTACTTGTTTGACTCATTTACTCAGTTGATCACCATAAAAATCAGGGCTCCACAAAATTTACTCCTCACCAAACCAAGCTCAGAGGAGTTTTATGGAAGAATCCCACATAAACTATCCATTTAAACCATTGAATCATGGACTCTCATGATTATTTGACTCCCAATGGATCATTATTAAGCGGAATAGAAGGGCCCTAACAGACTCCAGGGAATATCTATTCTCAGGTGACCAAAATACCTTATACTAAATGGAAATCAACTGTAAGGATTAGGACTTCACTCACAATATTTTTTGGTGTTGGGAGTCTACAGCTCCATAATATGTTTTGGTCACAGTTTACTTCTGGTGAGTAAATATCCATTTAACTATGTATCAGAGGTGCAGTATTTTTGTCTCTTTTCTCCTTCAGTTAATATTCAGAATGAAAGACATGCTGTGGGAAAAGCATTTAAAGGATTTCTTTATTCTGGTGAGTCAGGGAACTTTTGTTGTGGCCTCTGACTGTAAGCTTTAAAATCTTTGGCTATCAAGACACAGTGTAAAGTCATGAACTGCTTCCTCTCCCCAAGTTCAGTTTTTTCATTAAATAAGACTAGTGCCTCTGTGATAGGCCAGGTCCCAGGGAGGACAGATAATGTTCTTACTATTTTAGCTCTCGCTAGGGGTGGTGTAGTTTCAGGCTCTATCTTCTATACATCCAATACTTTGTTTCAAAATCCTAGTGTCATTGAATTCTGTTTCTATAGAGCTGGCCACAGACTCCCCCTGGTTCTTAGTTGGTTACTGAGCTGAATTTTATTTTATTGATCCCATATATCTCAAAATAACCCTTCTGATGTTTACCACTTGGGAGTATATCCAAACTGGTGTTTGAACTCAGGCCTCAGTAGTAGCTGGCTTAGAATTCCTTTCCTCTGGTCTCATGCTTTTGGCCTGGACACAGAAATCATTAAGGAGAACTACAAAGTGAAAGTACAACAGGTGAGATCCTAAAAAGCTAACTTCTGTGCAACAATACACCAAATTACCTAGGATTGAAAGTACCATTAGAACTGAGAACAATTATAATGGCTTTCCGCTTAGTTTAGACCAGTTACACCATGATTTTTAAGAGAGTAAGGAAACAAATCTAAAATAAGAAAAGAAGAGTGGTACCCTGCTCGAAATAAAGTGTGAATGGAGCGCAACAGATTATGGGGCAATTCTAGCAAATAAGGCAGTTGAGCCTGAGTAAAACTTGGAAGACTGACAAAGATGGACCAGTGAAAACATTCTCTTTAGGATGAGAATAATCATATTTATGCACTGAAAACATCCTTGACAATAGTCATCATTTGCATTTGAGGTAAGTACAAAGGCATAATCCTCTGAAAGAATATTTCTGATGTAAAAAGGAATGAATAGTATGTGGAAAGGGATGTTTCATTCTCTCCCCCACTCATGCCTCTAAGTGCTATTCCTACCTCACCGCTTTTGATTCCTTCTCAATGAAACCACTGAGAAAAGAGAAAACAGAAATGGCAATAGTGAACCAGATATAAAATTTTCCAATGAAGACCTTAATAACTTTAAAATGGGCATTTTTAAACTTTAGTCATTATTGTAGTATATGGCAAATATGGATTTGTTGGCTTCTTTTTCCATGAACCATCAAAAGTCTTGAAAGCTTCAGAAGGTGGTCTTCCTGAAGTTCAAAGTATTTTATTTATTGAAGAATGGATTTCACTATTAACCTTACCTGCTTCATATTCTGTTGGCTACTCTACCAATATAAATTTAGTCTTCATAGATAAAAAAATACTTTTTCATAGCAGCAAGTCTATCCATTATTGTGAAGTTTGCTTTCAAGGGAATTTGATGTTCCATCATGAGTTAAATTATCTGCTCCCAAAGTAACTTCATTTGCAAAATGTCAGTAAAGTTCCTAGTTCTCTATTAAAATTCGAGCCACTCTGTCATATAAATACAGTTAGATGGTGAAATCTCACCACCTTCATGGCAGTCATCAAAAACCTTTAAAAAAGAAAAAAGTTTACAATCAAATGAGAGTTTTAAAATTATTACATTTTAAGTCTCAAATGTCACCTACAACTAAAATTTCTGTTAACAAAGTATCCAAGACCCAACCATTGTTTTTTTGTTTTTTTTTTAAAGAATTTATTTATTTGGGGCGCCTGCGTAGCTCAGCTGGTTAGGCGGCTGCCTTCGGCTCAGGTCATGATCTCAGGGTCTTGGGATCAAGCTCCGCATCGGGCTCCCTGCTCAGCAGGAAGCCTGCTTCTCCCTTTCCCACTCCCCCTGCTTGTGTTCTCTCTCTGTCAAATAAATAAATAAAATCTTAAGAAAAAAAATTTATTTATTTGACAGAGACACAGCGAGAGAGGGAACACAAGCAGGGAGCAGTGGGAGAGGGAGAAGCAGGCTTCCCATGGAGCAGGGAGCCCGACATGGGGCTGGATCCCAGGACCCTGGCATCATGACCTGAGCTGAAGGCAGACACTTAACAACTGAGCCACTCAGGCGCCCCGACCCAACCATTTTTTAAAGCAACATTAAAAATAAAATTTTTAGGGTGCCTGCATGGTCCAGTTAGTTAAGCGTCTGCCTTTGGCTCAAGTCATGATTCCAGGATTGGGATCAAGCCCCATGTCAGTTTCCCTGCTCAGAGGGGAGTCTACTTCTCCCTCTCCCTCTGCCCCTTAACCACTGCTTGTTCTCTCTCTTCCTCTCTCAAATAAAATCTTAAAAAGAGAGACTAGGGCTGTATTTAAGAACATGCAATAACAGACCGGCTGTGTGATTATAAAGTTAGTGAATGAGAAACCTTTCACTGTAGCACTAAGATGACCTGCTCATCTGCCACTGGGCCAAAGGCTATCAGCAGATAACAGGAAAGCAGATCTATATACATCACTAACCAAAGGTTTCATGTTAGCTACATTCCTTTTTTTGAAGGATGCTAAACAGAATTCCCAATATGCTTGCTGTTTTTTCTAGGACTTGAAACCAGCACACAGAGAGCTTAGGCATATAGACAAGGGCTAGTGTAAGGAAATAAAACCTACATCAGCAGCCCAAGAATATAAATGCCCCACGGGCAGAGGCAGTGCCTGCAGCACACAGCTGGCATGAACTACATGGGACTGGATGAAGAGTGCTGGGGCGCACTGCAGGGGAAAGAACATGTCTGGGTTTGCGTCCTGGTTGTTACCTCGAAGCTGTAGCTCCTACAGCTTCCTTAGCTTCATGCTTAGGCGGAAATAATACACTAGCTCCAAGGGACAGAAGTAGGATTAAATGAGACCACATAAATCTTTAAGAATATGCCTGGCCTGTGGTGGGTTCTCAGCAAATCTCATTTCCCTCCCTACTTAGGGTTAAATGATCAGCCGTCATTAAAAATTGTCCATTTCAGGGCCATGAGTAGAAGACACAAATTTCCCCAACCTGGTTATTCTAAAAGAGAATGTAAACAATGACTTGTTCATCAAGGGCCTGTCATCAAGGTTACATGGAGGTTTGAGCCGCTGTTGGTCAACCCTGAGAGTCAGAAAACTGGAGTGTGCTTACTGGTAAGTTAGGTGGCATTTGCACTTGGTGGCAGTCAGGTATGAAGTGAAGCCACTTTAACTCACCGGGCAGAGTCCACACGGGGCCCGGACCAAACCCGTGGGTGGGATGATTGGATTGACTGCTCTGTACAGTTTCATGTGTCCATCTACACTGCCAACCGTGCCTTCTTTTGCAGCAATGATAGTCATCTCCACTTTCCCATCATAAATGAGTGTATTTAAGATCGTTTCAATGTCCTCCATGGACAACTCTACCTGAAAAGGGGATGCATTAGAAAGGACACAAAAAGCACAAGAAGACATCCTTTGGGAGAGTCTTTAAACTGTAAAGGGTCCGCAATTCCTCGGTGAAATGGGGAAGCATTATGCTGGTGAATCACTAAAAGCATGGGCTGAACAACAGCCCAGGTTAGCACAAACCACAGAAATGCTAGGGATAGAACTCTAACCTCATGTTGAATTTGATACTTTCTATTTGTCCACCCTCTTCAGTAAAATTTAGAAGTCTTTTAACATTTTTGCGGCAAGAATTTGATGGGGATTTACAAAATGTTTGAACAGAAAGTTACTTTAGACATCAAATAGTCCAAATGCCTACTTTTTTTAATAAATGAGAGATCTGGGGTCTAGGAAATGAAAATGACTTGTCCAAGTGGCCATTTCAGTTTCTTCTCTGATTATGAAAAGCACCCAGCACGGTGTCTTTATGTATAGATCTTCAAAAGCATATGTTGACACCACTACTCACAACTTACAAGGGGGACACAATACCAATAAATGACAACTGATGTGATGACTGATGTTCGGCATCTACGTTGAAATGTCCCTGAGAAAGTCAAGGACCTGTCAACAGACTT